TATTTCTTCCTGGTTGAGCCTTCTAGAAATTTGTCCATTTCTTCCACATTTTCTAGTTTGTGTGCATAAAGGTTTTTTGTAGTATTCGTAAATTATATCATGTATCTCCTTGGGATCAGTTGTGATATCTCCTTTTTTTGTTCCTGATATAACTTATTAGAGATTTTTCTTTTCTGCTTTTCGTTAGTCTAGCCAAAGGTGTGTCAATTGATTTCTGGCAATGGAGTATTTGTCTATCTGTCAATGGGTTTTCTCTATTGCTTTCTCAGCAAGGAAGATTTGTTCACTATATTGGGAATTGTCATACACCTGATTTCAAAAAACTACATTAAAGGACTACAATGAAGCAGTGGTGTTTAAATCTCTGTAGGAGGACTTTATTTTGTTTCTATCGTAGAAAACTCCAGGTGCATAAAGGAAAAATCTGGGCTCTATGTGTGTCTATAAGATTGCAAGGGAAATAAACCAAAAGCAAAGGAAAAGGGGAAGGACTTTCTCAATTATATTACCATCATCATGGCCTTCAGTGGTATTTGATTAGTCTTATTTGGATGAGGAGGGGAAGGACAAAAAACAAGAAATGTAACAAAGTGAGAGACATTTGATGACATTAATCAGATTTGATGGAATCAATGTTTTAATTTTTTTCTCTCTTCTGAAGCACCCTTGGGATATGTTCTTAGTCCACCAGAGAGCTCATCTTCACTCTGTGGTGGGAGCAAAGGGTTAGAGGAATGGGTCAGCTCCATTATCATTATTTGAATCTGACTCTTGAGAACACTGGAAATAAAGTTGGATGAATGGCAGAGAATGGCCTGCAGACTGGCACCATGCAGTTATTAATTGAGCATATTACACAAAAGAAAAAGCAAAGGAGTTGACTAGCATATAAAATCCATGTATAATTTAAAGCTAATATAATTATTTAGTGCCCATTTAATTTTATGTACTTATTCAATTTGTACTCTGACAATTCCACCATCACTATATATTTGGAAAAGGACTTAATAGGGAGACAGGGTAAGAGCAGAGAGGTGGGCAAGAAAGGAGCTTATGTCTTCTCTTTCAAAAAATACATGGGCTTCTCAGGCTCCAGGAAGAGTGATGTTGTACACTGCTCTCTAGAGATGTCAGAGGATTCACAATGAAGACATCTAGACTCTTCAGATAAACCACAATAATGAGCTTCTATCAGCATAGAACTGGAGATGACCTGTGGTCACCGGAGGGTACCAAGAGAAAAGTAACCAGGGACAAAGGATAGCAGAGAAAAGAGACATACACTAAGATCACACATATTGGAGGAATGAGGTCTGAGGCTGAGGTGATAGGAAGCCTCTTCTGAACTCACAAGATAAATGAAGTCAATAGTAACTGAGCTCAAGATTCAGGGACTACCTGGATATTAGATTGAAAGATCCAATCTTACCTAAGTGCAAAGTCAACTTGCATGCAAGTTCAGGGTCTTCTTCACAGAGATGCTTGATGAATTTGTGGGAAGCTCCGAGTCCTTTCCCAATAATGCAGTCAATCAAGACTTGAGCCTTGTCCATGACTGTGGAGTTTTCATATCTCACTTTGTACATCTCCTCCTGGCTAATGACTCCATCCTCTAATAGTCATCCAACAAGGCATTTATTGTACCCTCGCCCACTGAATGGATAAACAAATTCCTCTTGTTCCATAGGATGTTTTCTATTGGAAACACAAAGATTCCTCAAGTAATGAACAGAGCAATTCCCCAGCAGAGAAGTAATCATTTTAATTTTTCTCAGCCAAACTTTCTTCTTCACAGGGTACATTAGTCTCAAGAAATGATATCATACCTTTGGATCTTGAGGTATCTACTTGACATAATTCTTTCTGATCCTAGCATTGCCTACATGTGGTCACTGAGTGACTTAGCACATTTGATTTCATGATTTTTCTGTGAACCTCCTGAAAATCAGAATTCATTCTCTTGTAACACACCCTAACTTCTTGAAGTCTGAACCAGGGTTGACAGCCTGTTCCATTTGAGAGTAATAGCTGCCAGAACCCATCTTGTACCCATTCTCACCCTCACCTGACTCATACCTCTTCAAATTCAAATGAGACTAGGAAAACCATAGCAGAAACCAATAGAGTCCCAGGGTATTTCTGGCCTTATTTTTCCTTCAAAAATGCAGTGAAAGCCTGGCTGAGCTTCTTCCCTTCATCCTTCTCCCCTCTACCTCAAAGCTGTTCACATAAATCTTCACCAAGCCTAATGAGAAAGGCAATCCTTTCCCAAACTAATTCCTCTCAAGACCTCTTCCTTTAGAGTGGAAAAAGACTCACCGGCCATGGCTTCTCACGCTGGTGTTGGGTGTACAAGTGAAACAGCAGGCAAGGCGGCCCTATGTTTTTAAGCAGGATGAGTTTACAGATTGAGAAATAATGATTGCACCTACACATTTTATAATTAAGAAATATTAGTCACCACCATTCGTCTCTACAAAATCCTTCATTTTGAAAGACTAAAATTACATATCCGTTATAAAATAGTTTCTCATTTTTGCCTTCTAGTACGTCGTGGAAACCAGCATTCAAATTTCTGTCTCCATGAATTTGACTACTCTAGATAACTCATATAAGTTGAATCACACAGTGTTTGCTCTTCAGTGACTGAAGTATTTCACTTAGTATAATGTCCACGAGGCTCATCTATGTTGTAGCATGGATCACAATTCCTTTGTTTTTAAGGCTTAATAATATTCTATTTTATGTATATACAACATTTTGTTTACCCATTCATCTAACATTGAACACAGGTTGCTCCCACCTTTTGGCTTGTGAATAATGCTACTATGAATGTGGGTGTACAAATATGGCTTTGAGACTGTGCTTTCCATTATTTTAGATATATACCCAGAAATTGAATTGCCAGGTAGTAGGGTAATTTTATTTTTAATTTCGCATGGAAGCACTATATTGTTTTCCATAGCAGCTGTACCATTTGACATTATCATATACAATGCACAAGAGTTCCAATTTCCTCGCATCCTCACCAATACTTGTTATTTTTTATTCTTTTGATAGTGGCCGTTGTAATGGGTATGAGACTAACTAAGGCTGCTTAGCTCTTTTCCACTTCGCTTCACCCAAACTCCGGAATGTCTTCAAACACAGGAAATGTATGTATTCCTATGAAGCACTTTTGGATTTTGGAATGAAAATGTTTTTTACCGAAGTCTCTTTCTCTTTACATGGCTTCATTTTAAGAAACACTGTATTACAGAGATTAAGGGCATAGATTCTGAGGTCAGGATGGTTAACATTTTAACTGCTGGTCTCATGCAAGGAACTTAACTGTGCTTCAGTTTCGCCATCTGCCAAATAGGGTTGCTGATCATTTCTACCTTATAGTGTTATTGTTAGTAATTAATGAATCATACAAGTTGTTAACAAAGGAAGTTAACCTCAGTAACTATTATTACATGTTTCCATGTAACAACCCTAATTCATCTCATCAATTTATTCAATATAAACACTTAAGAGAGTTATTTACTGAGGATCAACTGTCTGTGACAGATGCTACTCTAGATGATAGGGATATAGAAATGAGAAAACAGACAAAATTTCCTGTTCTATTAGGACTTGTATTATCGTGGAAGAGATACCTATACTCATTAAACACATAAAAAATAGCTTATATTAAGAATTCTTTAGCAGTTAAAAAATATTCTCAGATTTGAGAAATTATGTTTGTCACTAATATCCTTGTATTAGCTGATGCATGTGATAATATTAGGTAGATAGTTAGGATCTATGGCTCTTTTTAAAACAAGGGTTCTCTGCTTTGTTGCTGTCTTGACCAATTGCTCCATCTGGATAGAAAGATAAGGGCAGACACTCCATTTTGGTGTTGCCCCACCCTGAATCCTATCCTGAACAACTCCTACACCTGGTGAAGGAGGGAAAGCTTATCTATCTGGAAAATCCCCTGCCCAGGCATATAGCATTTAGGAAGGGACCTAGAATAATCTGAGAGTAATTATTATGCCATTAGCTTGAATCAGCATATTGTGGGTCACTGTTTCAGGAGGGCTTTCTTAAGGGGAGTTCATATATAGGCAGATGGAATTTTGAAGACACCTGTTGATCATTTAATAACATCCCACACCTCCTGAGAGCCACCTCCACAATGGGCAAATAAAAGGGAACAATCTGAGAAGAGAGAGACAGAGAAAGTATCAGAGAGAGAGAGAGAGAGAATCAGAGTCAGATAGTGTGTGTATTTCTCTGCCCATGGAGACAGACCAGTTTTGTTCTACAACAAAGAGCTGCTTGTGTGAAACTGCTTTCTGCCTAAGGTAAGTCCTTTGCATTGTCCCCTCTGGTGATTTTTTCAAGGAACTGCCAAAAGACCAGGATACCAGTTTGGACTTGATATTTTGGTGTGTCCGGTCAGTCTGCGGCCAAGAGCACACCAAGAATCTAAGGTAAGGTAAACTGCCTCCCCTGATGATATAATTTGAGATATATTTAAAATCTGGGACAGATGCCACAGTTCAAGTTCTCATGAACTTAGGAATACATAGAGACCAAGGGAAGCTGGGGTGGAGATGTCTGTACCTACCTAGTAGCAGTAGTTCTCTCTAAAGGAGCAAGGATCCTCAAATCCAGCAGTTTTTGCCAAAGAGAGCGAAGATCCAGTTTTCTCTTTCATTTTGTGTGTAGTATTTCTTTCATTTAAAGCTATCTTCAACGAGTTCACCATTGTTTTAAAATACTGAGCATATTTAGCAAAGATGTGTGTGGGTTACCCGGGACCTGCAGTCCACCTATTTGCCTTCTGTGTTCTTGGCAAAACAAACTGAATTTATATTCTTGGGAATACAATAGCACCTTCTATCTTGGCAGTGTGTTGTAGGAAATTTTAGAGATTGTCGTAACCTATGAGTGACTATCGGGAAATAATGGGATTTGCTGATTGATGTCTTATAATGAAACTCATTTCTTGAAATGGGCATGTCTCCTCATGGCTGTACAACTGACTCCCGTGTTATGAGTATTTTCAATATGAAGCTGTCCAGCTCAAAGCTGCCTAGGCTAAAGGGTAAAAAAGGGGGGAAAATATAAAGAAAAGTCTTAGGCACTGGGAACCTGTCTTTTCAAAGATTTGTAGCACAAGCAAATAGTTAAGCAATCCACTTGTTTTCACCTAACCATAGGGTATATAGCTCCAGCACCAAGCCTGAGATAAATGAGTGAAATGACTCACAGAACAATGTTTAGAGATCAGGGATATTTAGAGATCAGATATCAGAGAAATTGTGCAACTCACAAAGACTTTTACTCTGCTTACCCAAAAAGCCAATTAAAACAAATGTCTCCTTCATCTCAGAATCATAGATATTTGTGAAAATCAACAAAATTAATTACAAAGATGTAAAAATTATTCAAAATATTTTAATAATTGTTAAGGCATCTAGGACATTGGAAGTATTATTCTTGTCACTGAGATTAAAATAGTAAAATAAATAAATAAAATAACACAATGCCCAATGCCCTCATAGAGCTATATATCTGTTTTAGGATAAAAATATGATACAAATAGCCACAGCAAAATTTTATATAATTTTATTTTTACTTTTTAATTTCACCATATTAGAGTGGTAAAAATGGTTAGGTTACATATATTGCCTTTGCTCCACCTGAGTCAGACATTTAAGAGTGTACATCCCCCTAAGGTGTGCACCCACCCATTAGGTGTGAATATACCCATCCTATCCTCTCCCCTCCCACCTGCCAGACATGCTATTAATGTTTCTACTATATGTACATATAAGTGTTGATCAGTCAATACCAATTTTTTTAAAAAAATAAAACCACCTCTAACCCATGATAGATGTTATGATCAGGAAGTAAATTGCCTTATTGATGCTGTGAATGGATGGTTTGAGAACACAGGCATTAGAGTCTCAGCTCCCTCTTACTAGTCTTAAGGGATTGGTAAAGTCAACTCTGAAGAGTGGAGATAATGATTGTAGTAACTTAGAATGTTGGGATGATGAAATGAGAGGATACTGAACACTGGCACACAGTGAAGACCCCCCTGAAAACTACCAGCTATTGGAAGAGCAGGTGATCAGAGGAATGTAAGCTGATCAGTGTCTGTGAATACTTCCATGGAGCAGTGATGCCTGAATGGAATGTAAACATTAGGGATGTGTTGAGGAGAAGAGCATTTTGATAAGAGAAGATAGTGTGTGATGGAGGAAATTCAGAATGGAAATGAGGGAAGAATGTAGATAGAGGACTTAGCACAAGGGTTAGTTAATTCTTTGAGAGGGATAAGTAGATAAGCAGACCATGGAGAGGAACTTTTGTTGGCCATGTTGAAGGGCCAAGACATGAAAGCTATTTATGTTTTAGGTGGGGGTGTGACATGTATTTCCCCCAAAGGGTCAGATTACAACCATGGTGGCTCCACAATATTTTTGTAAGAGGGGCATATGGATGATCACCTGGTTGAGGGGAGTAGAATTCAGGAGACCTAAAGGAATTGTTTTGAACTGTGTTTTCTTAGATTCTACAATTTGTTTTAGATGTATGTTAGCCAGGGTAGATTGACAGCAGTCTGTGTTGAGCTACTTCTGGGCTGCAGGAATCAAGTCGGGTTAGGTAGTAAAGTGGCAGCTTGGAATGAGGGACTCCTTTATGTCCTTCCTTTCAGGGACTTTCCTAGATATCACTGCTAATTTGCTGCTGCCGCCCAATAGGAATTGCAAATGATCAGAGCCCCAAATTGGCTCTAATAGCTTCTCTGAAGGCAAGGAGACGCTGGAGTCACTCCAAAAATCACAAAATTTACATGGACTGGGCGGGTTTTTCCCATCTAGATTTGATTATATTTATAAGTTTTGTACTATACTTTGTTCAAGAAAAAATATTTGTGATCTCTGTAATGTGAGTTATGATTCTTTCCCCTGTACTTGTTATCCTTCATGGATATCATGATTCCGTGTCTCTGTGAATAAAGGTAGCAATAAAATCATCATACTTTCCAGAAAAAATGTAGTGCTTGCTAACTTATTGGCAAGCTTTGGGCTTAGCCCTCTACAAACTGATTGAGTTCTTTCAAGGACTCTATGTGGATAGTGTTTTTAATTACCTTTTACATATGAGGAAACTGTGCCTCAGAAAGGTTAAAATATTCTCCAAATGATTATAGAGCTTATAACTAACATGTGTAGACCTCAAACCTGTGAGCAGTGAGGATATAGCCAAACTACCCTCCACGTATGATTCCCTCAAAGCAAATTTCTTCAAAGAAACCATCTGATTACACATGAAAAGACTCCTGACCCCAGTTTCTAGTATCTCCAATAAAACGTCCTGTCAGTGGCACATACCTCCTCTACAGAGAAAAACATTGAAAATCCTCACTCACTGTGTTTGGTCTCAACCTATAATGATTTTTCCCAGAATTTATGACTGACAATTTTTACAAAGGGAACCATTTTAGCTTCATAAAGATGTCATCAAAAGTGCACAAACCTGAAGAGTCCAGTGAATGTTTTGGTTTTAGTTCCTGACACACCATCCTTCACTACAACATAGGCTAGAAATTTTAAAAAGTGGCAAAAGCTAACAGATTAGAAACCCTCCTGAGGCTTCCAGAAGATCATACTCCATTATTTAATACTACACTCAAGAACAAGACAGTGTAAGCAGAAATAGTGATTATTTTCCTGCTCTGAAGGGTACAAAGCCAGGGTGTGCCATGATGCTATGTTGACCCCACAAATTTACATTCTTTAGGCAGCAAGCCATATCTTGCTTCACATTGACCATTTGGACTTGAAAGGCTATGTTTATTACCAGAGCTTTTTGGGGGGGAAGCTTCATTCTAGCAATAGAGTATTGCCAGAATCTGTCCATGGGTTTTCTCTATTGGATTCTCAGCAAAGAAGGTTTGTTTATTATATTGATAATTATCATAGACCTGGCTCTGAGAAACTACATGACAGCATTAAAATGAAGCAGTGGTGTTTAAACCTCTGTAGGAGGACTTTATACTGTTGCCATCATAGCAAACTACAGGTAAACAAAGGAAAAATGTGGGCTGTATATGTGTCTATAGGATTGCAAGGGAACTAAACAAAAAGCAAAGGAAAAGGGGAGGGACTTTCTCAATTATATAACAATCATCATGGCCTTCAGTGTTATTTAATTAGCCTTGGTTGGATGGAAGGGAAGGACAAAAAACAAGCAATATAACAAAGTGATAGACACTTGATGACATTAATCAGCTTTGATGGAATCAACATTTTATTTTTTTCTCTTTCTGAAACACGTTTGGGATGTGTTCATAGACCGGAAGAGAGCTCGTCTTCACTCTGTGGAGAGAGCAAAGGGTTAGAGGAATGGTTCAACTCCCATATCATCATTTAATCTGGCTCTTAGGAGTACTGGAAATAAAGTGGGATAAACGGCAGAGAATGGCCTGTAGATTGGCACCACGCAGATACTAATTGAGCATATTACACAAAAGAAAAAGCAAAGGAGTTGACTAGCACATAGAATCCATGTGTAATTTAATGCAAATGTAATTATTTAGTGCACATTTAATTTTACGTACATATTCAGTTTGTACTCTGACAATTCCATCATCACTATATATTTGGAAAAACACTTAATAGGGAGACAGGGTAAGAGCAGAGAGGTAGGCAAGAAAGGAGCTTATGTCTTCTCTTCCAAAAAATACATGGGCTTGTCAGGCTCCAAGAAGAACTATGTTGCCCACTGCTCCCTAGAGACATCAAAGGATTCTGAATGAAGACTAGACTCTTCTGATAAACTACAATAATGAACTACTATGGACATAAAATGGAGATGACTTGTGGTCACAGAGAATACTGAGAGAAAAGTAACAAGGGACATACACTAGGACCACACATACAGGAATGGAGGCTGAGGCTGAGATGATAGGAAGCCTATTCTAAAAATAAAGTTAATCGTAATGGAGCTCATGATACAGGGACTAGTTGGACATTTGATTGAACAATACAACCTTACCTGAGGGCAAATACAATTTCCATGCAAGTTCAGGGTCTTCATCACGGATATGCTTGATAAATTTTAGGCAAGCTCGGTGTCCTTTTCCAATAACAAGGTCAATCAAGACTCGAGCCTTATCCATGACTGTGCAGTTTTCATATCTCACTTTGTACATCTCCTCCTGGCTAATGACTCCATCCTCTAATAGGTCATCCAGCAAGGCATTTATTGTACCCTCACCCACTGAATGGATAAACAAATTCCTCTTCTGCCTCAGGATTTTGTCTATTAGAAACACAAAGATTCCGCTAATAATGAACACAGCAATTCACTAGCAGAGAAGCAACCATTTTAGTCTTTCCCACCCAAACTTTCTTCTTCACAGGGTACATTAGTCTTAAGAAATGGTGTCATACCTTTGGCGCTTGAGGTATCTACTTGACATAATTCTTTCTGATCCTAGCATTACCTACATGTGGTCACTGAGTGACTTAGCACACTTAATTTCATGATTTTTCTGTGAACCTCCTGAAAATCAGAATTCATTCTCCTGTAACACACCCTGACTTCTTGAAGTCTGAACCAGGTTTGACAGCCTGTTCCATTTGAGAGCAATAGCTGCCAGAACCCATCTTGTACCCATTCTCACCCTCACCTGACTCATACCTCTTGAAATTCAAATGAGACTAGCAAAGCCATAGCAGAAACCAATAGAGTGCCAGGGTATTTTTGGCCTTATTTTTCCTTCAAAAATGCAGCGAAAGCCTGGCTGAGCTTCTTCCCTTCGTCCTTCCCCCCTCTCCCTCAAAGATGTTCACATAAATCTTCACCAAGCCTAATGAGAAAGGCAATCCTTTCCCAAACTAATTCCTCTCCAAGACCTCTCCCCTTAGAGTGGAAAAAGACTCACCGGCCATGGCTTCTCACGCTGGTGTTGGGTGTACAAGTGAAACAGCAGGCAAGGCGGCCCTATGTTTTTAAGCAGGATGAGTTTACAGATTGAGAAATAATGATTGCACCTACACATTTTATAATTAAGAAATATTAGTCACCACCATTCGTCTCTACAAATCCTTCATTTTGAAAAACTAAAATTATATATCCATTTACAAAATAGTTTCTTATTTTTGCCTTCTACTAGTCTGTGGAAACCAGCATTCAGCTTTCTGTCTCCATGAATTCGACTACTCCAGATAACTCATATAAGTTGAATCACACAGTGTTTGCCCTTCGGTGACTGACTTATTTCTCTTAGTATAATGTCCTCGAGGTTCATCTATGTTGTAGCATGGATCACAATTCCTTTCTTTTTAAGGCTTAATAATATTCTATTTTATGTATGTACAACATTTTGTTTACCCATTCATCTAACACTGAACACAGGTTGCTCCCACCTTTTGGCTATTGTGAATAATGCTGCTATGAATGTGAGTGTACAAATATGGCTTTGAGACTGTGCTTTCCATTATTTTAGATATATACCCAGAAATTGAATTGCCAGGTAGTAGGGTAATTTTATTTTTAATTTTGTGTGGAAGCACTATATTGTTTTCCATAGCAGCTGCACCGTTTGACATTATCACATACAATGCACAAGAGTTCCAATTTCCTCGCATCCTCACCAATACTTGTTATTTTTTATTCTTTTGATAGTGGCCGTTGTAATGGGTATGAGATGAACTAAGGCTGCTTAGCTCTTTTCCACTTCGCTTCACCCAAACTCTGGAATGTCTCTAAACACAAGAAGGGTATGTATTCTTACGAAGTACTTTTGGATTTTGGAATGAAAATGTTTTTTATCTAAGTCTCTTTCTCTTTACATGGCTGGATTTTAAGGAACACTGTATTATAGAGATAGACTCTGAGGTCAGAGCATAGACTCTGAGGTCAGCATAGTTAACTTTTTAACTGCTGATTTCATGCAAGGAACTTAACTGTGCCTCAGTTTTGCCATCTGCCAAATAGGGTTGCTGATAATTTCTACCTTATAGTGTTATTGTTAGTAATTAATGAATCATATAAGTTGTTAAATATTAATAATATCTGGCACTGAGGAAGTACCTCAGTAACTATTATTGCATGTGTCCATGTAACAACCCTAATTCATCTCATCAATTCATTCAACATAAACACTTAACTAAGTTATTTACTGAGGATCAACCGTCTGTGACGGATGCCTCTCTAGATGCTAGGGATATAAGAATGACCAAATCAGACAAAATTTCTTGTCCTATTAGGACTTATATAATTGTGGGAGAGATACTTATACTCATTAAATGCATAAAAATACTTTATATTAAGAATTCTTTAGCAGTTAAAACTATTCTCAGAAGATTTGAGAAATTATGTTTTTCACTAATATCCTTGTATTAGCTTATACATGTGATAATATTAGGTAGATAGTTATGATCTCTGGCCCTTTTCAGAACAAGAGTTCCCTGCTATAGCGCTGTCTTGAGCAATTGCTCCATCTGGGTAGAAAGATAAGGGCGGACACTCCATTTTGGTGTTGCCCCACCCTGCAACATATCTTAAGCAACTCCTACACCTGGTGAAGGTGGGAATGCTTATCAATCTGGAATTTCCCCTGCTCAGGCATATAGGCTTTAGAAAAAGACCTAGAATAATCTGAGAGAATTATTATGCCATTAGCTTGAATCAGCATATTGTGGGTCACTCTTTCAGGAGGGCTTTCTTAAGGGGAGCTCATATATACGCAGATGGAATTTTGAAGACACCTGTTGATCATTTAATAACATCCCACACCTCCCAAGACCCACCTTCAGAATGGGCAAATAAAAGGAAATAATTCAAGAAAACGAGGGAGAAAGAAAGAAAGAAAGAAAGAAAGAAAGAAAGAAAGAAAGAAAGAAAGAGAGAGTATCAGAGAGAGAAAGAGAGTCAGAGTCAGATAGTGTGTGTATTTCTCTGCTCATAGAGACAGACCAGTTTCATTCTACAACAAAGAGCTGCTTGTGTGAAACTGCTTTCTGCCTAAGGTAAGTCCTTTTCATTGGCCCTTCTGGTGAGTTTTCCAAGGAGGAGACAGAAGACCAGGATGCTAGTCTGGACTTGACACTTTGGTGTGTCTGGTCAGGGCACACCAAGAACCCAAGGTAGACTGTCACCCCTGACGATGTAATTTGAGATATATTTAAAATCTGGGCCAGGTGCCACAGTTCATTTCCTGTGAATTTAGGAATACATAGTGAGCAAGGGAAGTTGGGTTGTGGAGATCTGTGCCTACCTGGTAGCAGTAGTTCTCTCTGAAGAAGTAGGGCTCCTCAAACCCAGCAGTTTTTGCCAAAGAGAGTGAAGATCCAGTTTACTCTTTCATTTTGTGTGTAGTATTTCTTTCATTTAAAGCTATCTCAATGGGTTCACCATTGTTTTAAAATATTGAACATATTAAGCAAAGCTTGTGTGTGGGTTATACTGGACCTGCAGTCCACCTATTTGCCTTCTGTGTTTTTGACAAAACAAATTAAATTTATTTTCTTGGGAATAGCACCTTCTATCTTGCCAGTGTGTTGTAGGAAATTTTTAGAGATTGGAACCTATGAGTGACTATTGGGAAACAATGGGATTTGCTGATTGATGTCTTATAGTGAAACTCATTTCTTGAAATGAGTGTGTCTCTTCATGGCTGTACAACTGACTCCCGTGTCATGAGTATTCTCAATATGAAGCTATCCAGCTCAGAGCTGCCTAGGCTAAAGGGCAAAAAGGGAGAAAAATATAAAGAAAAGGCTTAGGCACTTGGAACCTGTCTTTTCGAAGATTTATAGCACAAGCAAATAGTTAAGCAATCTACCTAACTCCAGCACCAAGCCTGAGATAAATGAGTGCAGTGACTCACAGAACCATGTTTAGCAATCAGGGATGTTCACAGTTCAAATATCAGATAAACTGTGCATCTCACAAAAACTTTTACTCTGCTTTCCGAAAAACACAGATAATACATGTTTCCTTCATCTCATAATCATAGATATTTGTGAAAATCAATAAAATTAATTATAAAGATGTAAAATTATTCAAAAAAATTTATAAATATTTGCTAAAGTGTCTAGGACATTCAAGGTACTATGCTTGTCACTGAGATTAAAATAGTAAAAAAAAAAAAGTGACATAATGCCGAATACCCTCATGGAGCTATGTATATGGTTTAGGATAAAACTATTATACCAATAACCACAGCAAAATTGTATTTCATTTTATTTTTACTTTTTTATTTCAGCATATTACAGTGATACAAATATTTATGTTACATATATGGCCTTTGTCATGCCTGAACAAGAGCTTCAAGCCTGTCCATCCCCCATACAGTGCCCACCACACCCATTAGGTGTGAATATACTCATCCTGTCCTCTTCCCTTGCACCTGCCTGACACCCGATGAATGTTTCTACTATATGTGCATAAGTGTTGATCAGTTAATACCAATTTTTTAAAAAAATTAAAACCTTCTCCAACCTATGATAGATGTTATGATCAGGAAGTAAATTGCCTTATTGATGCTGTGAATGGATGTTTTGAGAACACAGGCATTAGAGTCTCAGTTCCCTCTTACTAGCCTTATGGGATTGGGGACGTCACCTCTGAAGAGTAGAGATAACGATTATAGTAACTTAAGATTGATGTGATGATGAAATGAGAGGATACTGAATGCTGGCACACAGTAATGACCCCCCTGAAAACTGCCAGCTATTGGAAGAGCAGGTTATCAAGGAATGTGAGCTGATCAGTGTCTGTGAATACTTCCATGGAGCAGTGATACCTGAATGGAATGTAAATGTTAGGGATGAGTCTAGGAGAAGAGCATTCTGATAAGAGAAGACAGACTGTGATGGGGAATCGCAGGAATAGAAATGAGGAAAGAGTGTATAGACAACTTAGCACAAGAGTTAGTGAGCTCTTTGAAGAGGCTAAGTAGAAAAGCAGGCCATGGTGAGGAATTTTTGTTGGCCACGTTAAAGGCCAAGACATGAAAGCTATAGTTATGTTTTATGTGGGGGTGGGACATATATTTCCCCCAAAAGTTCAGACTACAACAATGGTGGCTCCAAAATATTTTTGTAAGAGGGGCTTATGGATGATCACCTGGGTGAGGAGAGTGAGAGCTAGGAGACCTAAAGGGATGGTTTTAAAGTGTGGTTTATTAGATTCTACTATTTGATTTAGATTTATGTTAGCCAGGGTAGATTGAGAGCAGTCACAGGAATAAAGTCAGGCTAGGTGGTAAAGGGGCAGCTTGGAATGAGGGACTCCTTTATGTCCTTCCTTTCAGGGACTTTCCTAGATATCAGTGTTAATTTGTTGCTGTCACCCTACAGGAATTGCCAATGATCAGAGCCCCAAATTGGCTATAATAGCTTCTCTGGAGGCAAGAAGAGTCTGGAATCACTCCAATCCTCACATAATTTACATGGACTGGATGGGTTTTTGTCATCTTGATTTGACTATTTATAAGTTTTGTACCATACATGGCATAAAGGAAAAAAAATATTTGTGGTCTCTTTAATGTGAGTTACGATTCTTTTTCACTGGACTTGTTATCCTTCACTAGTATCATAATTCTGTATCTGTATGAATAAAGGTAGCAATAAAATCATTATACTTGCCAGCAAAATTTATTGCTTGCGAACTTATAGGCAAGCTTTGGGCTTAGCCCTCTACAAGCTGATTGAGTTTTTTCAGGACTCTATTTGGATAGTGTTTTTAATTACCTTGTACATATGAGGAAATTGTCCTTCAGAAAGGTTAAGATATTCTCCAAATGATTATAAAGCTTATAACAGACATGTCTAGACCTCAAACCTGTGAGCGGTGAGCATACAGCCAAACTACCCTCCAAGTATGATTCCCTCAAAGCAGGTTTCTTCAAAGAAACCATCTGATTACACATGAAAAGATCCCTGACCCCAGTCTCTGGTATCTCCAATAAAACTTCCTGTCAGTGGCACATACCTCCTCTACAGAGAAAAACATTGAAAATCCTCACTCACTGTATTTGGTGTCAACCTATAATGATTTTTCCCAGAATTTATGACTGACAAATTTTTACAAAGGGAACCAACCATGTTAGGTTTTATTTTAGCTTCATAAAGATGTCATCAAAAGTGCACAAACCTGAAAAGTCCAGTGAATGTTTTGGTCTTAGTTCCTGACACACCATCCTTCACTACAACATATGCTAGACATTTTAAAAAGTGGCAAAAGCTAACAAATTAGAAACCCTCCTGAGGCTTCTAAAAGATCATACTCCATTTTTAAATACTACACACAAGGACAAGACAGTGTAAGCAGAAATAATGATCATTTTCCTGCTCTGAAGGGTACAAAGCCAGGGTGTGCCATGATGCTATATTGACCCCACAAATTTACATTCTTCAGGCAGGAAGCCATATTTTGCTTCACCTTGACCATTTGGACTTGAAAAGCTATGTTTATTACCGGAGCTTTTTGAGGGGAAGCTTCATTCTTGCAATGGAGTATCTGTCCATCTGTCCATGGGTTTTCTCTATTGCTTTCCCAGCAAGGATGATTTGTTTATTGTATTGGTAATTGTCATAGACCTGGCTCTGAGAAACTACATGACAGCATTAAAATGAAGCAGTGGTGTTTATACCTCTGTAGGAGGACTTTATATTGTTGCCATCATAGCAAACTACAGGTAAATAAAGGAAAAATGTGGTATATATGTGTGTCTACAGGATTGCAAGAGAATTAAACAAAAAGCAAAGGAAAAGGGGAGGGACTTTCTCAATTATATAACAATCATCATGGCTTTCATTGTTATCTGATTAGCCTTGGTCGGATGAGGAAGGGAAGGACAAAATACAAGCAATGTAACAAAGTGAAAGACACTTGATGACATTAATCAGATTGGTTGGAATCAAGATTTTATTTCTTTTCTCTGTTTCTGAAGACCCCCTTTCAGATGTGTTTGTAGTCCACCAGAGAGCTCATCTTCACTCTGTGGAGGGAGCAAAGGATTAGAGGAATGGGTCAGCTCCATTATCATCATTTGAATCTGGCTCTTAGGAGCACTGGAAATAAACTGGGATAAGTGGCAGAGAATGGCCTTCAGACTGGCAACACACAGATATTAATTGAGCATATTACACAAAAGAAAAGGCAAAGGAGTTGACTAGCACATAGAATTCATGTATAATTTAATACAAATGTAATTATTTAGTGCACATCTAATTTTATGTACATATTCAGTTTGTACTTTGACAATTCCATCATCACTATATATTTGGAAAAGCACTTAATAGGGAGACAGGGTAAGAGCAGAGTGGTAGCCAAGAAAGGTGCTTATGTCTTCTCTTCCAAAACATACATTGGCTTGTCAAGGTCCAGGAAGGGTGATATTGCACACTGTTCCCTAGGGACATCAGAGGATTCAGAATGAAGACATCTAGACTCTTCAGATAAACTATGATAATGAGCTACTATGGACATAAAACTGGAGATGACCTGTGGTCACTAGAGGGGTACTGAGAGAATAGAAACAAGATACACAGAGGTACAGACAAAAGACATAAAGTAGGACCACACATATAGGAATGGGATCTGAGGCTGACTTGAGGGGAAGCCTTTTCTAAACTGATAAGATAAATGAAGATAATAGTCACTGAGCTCTAGATTCAGGAACTACCTGGACATTAGACTGAATGATGCAATCTTACCTAAGTGCAAAGTCAACTTGCATGCAAGTTCAGGGTCTTCTTCACGGATATGCTTGATAAATTTTTGGGAAGCTCTGGGTCCTTTCCCAATAATGCAGTCAATCAAGACTCGAGCCTTATCCATGACTGTGGAATTTTCATATCTCACTTTATACATCTCCTCCTGGCTAATTACTCCATCCTCATATAGGTCATCCAGCAAGGCATTTATTGTACCCTCACCCACTGAATGGATAAACAAGTTCCTCTTCTGCTTCAGGATTTTGTCTATTGGAAACACAAAGATTCCTCAAATAATGAACACAGTAATTACCCATCAGAGAAGCAATCATTTTAGTCTTTCCCAGCCAAACTTTCTACTTCACAGGGTATATTAGTCTCAAGAAATGATATCATACCTTTGGCTCTTGAGGTATCTACTTGACATAATTCTTTCTGATCCTAGCATTTCCTACATGTGGTCACTGAGTGACGTAGTACACTTGACTTCATGATTTTTCTGTGAACCTCCTGAAAATCTGAATTGATTCTGCTGTAACACACCCTAATTTCTTGAACTCTGAAGGGGGTTGACAGGCTGTTCCCCATGAGAGCAATAGCTGCCAACACCCATCCTGTGCCCATTCTCACCCTCAGCTGACTCATACCTCTTCAAATTCAGATAAGACTAGCAAAATCATAGCAGAAACCAAGAGAGCTCCAGGGTATTCCTGGCCTTATTTTTCCTTCAAAAATGCAGTGAAAGCCTGGCTGAGCTTTTTCCCTTCATCCTTCCCCCTCTACCTCAAAGCTGTTCACATAAATCTTCACCAAGATTAATGAGAAATCTATCCTTTCCCAACTAATTTCTCCCCAAAACCTCTCCCCTTAGAGTGGGAAAGACTTACCAGCCATGGCTCCTCACGGTGGTGCTGGATAGACAAGTGAAACAGCAAGCAAGGTGGCCCTATGTTTATAAGCTTACAGATTGGGAAATAATGATTGCACCTACACATTTTATAATTAAGAAATATTAGTCACCACCTTTCATCTCTACAACTTCTTCATCTTGGAACACTGAAAATATGTATCCATTGTATCCATTAGGCAATACTTTCTCATTTTTGTCTTCTTCCAGCTCTTGGAAACCAACATTCAACTTTTTATCTCTATGACTTGGCTACTCTAGGTAACTCATATGAGTGAAATGATACAGTATTTATCCTTTGGTGAATGACTTATTTCACTTAATGTCCTAGAGGTTCATCTATGTTGTAGCATGGGTCATAATTCCTTTCTTTTGAAGGCTTAATAGTATTCCATTTTATGTATATACAACATTTTGTTTACCCATTCATCTAACAATGAACACAGGTTGCTCCCACCTTTTGGTTATTGTGAATAATGCTGCTATGAATGTGAGTGTACAAATATGGCTTTGAGACCGTGCTTTCAATTATTTTACATATATACCCAGAAATTGAATTGCCAGGTAATAGGGTAATTTTATTTTTAATTTTGTGTGGAAGCACTACATTGTTTTCCATAGCAGCTGCACCGTTTTACATTACCACATACAGTGCACAAGTGTTCCAGTTTCTCCACATCCTCACCAGTACTTTTTTTTTTATTATTCTTTTGATAGTGGCCACCCTAATGGTATGAGACTAACAAAGACTGCTTAACTCTTTTGCACTGTGCTTCACCCAAACTCGGGGCTGTCTCCAAACACAAGAAGGGTATGTATTCCTATGAAGCATTTTTGCATTTTGGAATGAAAATGTTTTTTATCTAAGTCTCTTTCTCTTTACATGGCTTGATTTTAAGGAACTCTGTATCACAGAGGTTAAGGGAATAGACTCTGAGGTCAGGATAGTTAACTTTTTAACTGCTGATCTTACACAAGGAACTTAACTGTGCCCCAGTTTTCCCATCTGCCAAACAGGCTCCATGATAATTTCTACCCTATAGTGTTATTGTTAGTAATTAATGAATCATACAAGTTGTTAAATATTAATAATATCTGGCACTAAGGAATACCTCAGTAACTATTATTGCATGTGTCTTTGTAACAACCCTAATTCATCAATTCATTCAACATAAACACTTAACAGAGTTATTTACTAAGGATCCACCCTGTGTGCCAGATACTACTCTAGATGCTAGGGATATAGGAATGACCAAAACAGACACAATTTCCTGTCCTATTAGAACTTATATTATTGTGGGAGAGACACCTATACTCATTAAATGTATACAAAATACTTTACATTAAGAATTCTTTAGCAGTTAAAAAATATTCTCAGATTTGAGAAATTATGTTTTTTACTAATATCCTTGTATTATCTTATACATGTGATAAGGTATTAGGTAGACAGTTAGGATCTCTTGCTCTTTTCAGAACAAGAGTTCCCTGCTTTGTTGCTGTCTTGAGCAATTGCTCCATCTGGGTAGAAAGATAATGGCAGACATTCCATTTTGTTGTTGCCCCACCCTGAATCCTATCCTGAGCAACTCCTACACCTGGTGAAGGGGGGAAGGCTTAGCAATCTGAGAATTCTCAGGCCGGGCATATAGGATTTAGAAAGGGACCTAGAGTAAAATGAGAGTAATTATTATGCCATTAGCTTTAATCTGCATATTGTGGGTCACCCTCTCAGGTGGGCATTCTTTTTTTTTTTTGGGGGGGGGAAAGATCCAAAATCCTCGCCAGCATTTGTTGTTTGGGATTTTTCAGATAGAGGCCAATCTCACTGGGTTAGTGATATTTCATTGTGGTTTTGATTTGTTTCTCTTAATTAGAGATGTTGAAATTTTTTAGTATGTTTGCTGGCCATTATTTTCTTCTTTGGAAAAGTTCTTTTCTCCCATCCAAGTACTAACCAGCGCCCGATCTGCTTAGCTTCTGAGATCAAGACGAGATCGGCACGTTCAGGGTGGTGTGGCAGTAGACGAAAGTTTCTTTTCTATTGCCCATTTCATTTTTTTTTTACTTCCAGCATTATATGGAGGTAACAAATTTTAAGGTTTCAAATAATTCCCTTATCCTCCCTCCCCCACAAGTCTGAGCTTCAAGCATGACATCCCTAGATGGTACACATCTCACTCATTAATGTATGTATATAACCCTCCCCACGCCCACCCACCCAATACCCAATTAATTGTAGTTTCTATGTGTCCACTTAGGTGCTAATCAGTTAAACCAATTTGCTGGTGAGGGTATGCGGTGCTTATTTTTCCATTCTTGGGATACTTCACTTATTTATAGGTTCCAGCTCTATTCAGGAAAATAAAAGATGTGCTACCATTGTTTCTTAGAACTGAATAGTACTCCGTGTATACATGTACCACATTTTATTAATCCACTCATGAATTGATGGGCACTTGAGTTGTTTCCACAATTTGCAATTGTGAATTGTGCTGCTATAAACACTTTGAGTGCAGATTTCTTTTTTGTAGAGTGTCATTTGATCTTTTGGGTAGATGCCCAGTAATGGGATGCTGGATTCAATGGTAGATTCACTTGTATCGCTTTAAGGCATCTCCATATTGCTTTCTATAGAGGGTTGAAATAGTTTGCAGTCCCACCAGCAGTGTAGAGTGTCCTATCTCTCACATCCATGCCAACATCTATTGTTTGGGGCTTTTTGATAAAGGCCATTCTTACTGGAAATAAGTGATATCTCATTGTAGTTTTGATTTGCATTTCCATGATGATTAGAGATGTTGAACATTTTTCATATGTTTGTTAGCCATTATTCTGTCTTCTTTAGAAAAGTTTCTGTTCATGTCCTTTGCCCACTTTTTGATAGGTTGTTTGATTTTTTTTGCTGATTTTCATGAGTTCTAAGTAGATTCTAGTTATCAGCCTTATCAGATGTGTAGGATGTGAAATTTTCTCCCATTTCTGTAGGTTGTCTATTTGCTTTCATGACTATTTCTTTGGCTGTACCGAAGCTTTTAGTTTGATCATGTCCTATTACATCCTTTCGTGATCAGAACACTTAATAAAATAGGCATAGATGGGACATACTAAAATGATATAAGCCATATTATGACAGACCCATAGCCAACATCATACTGAATGGGAAAAATTGAAAACACTCCCACTTAGACCTGGAACCAGCAACGTTGCCCACTATCTCCATTTCTATTCAACATAGTGCTGGAAGTCCTGGCTATAGCAACAGACATGAAAGTGGAATTAAAGGTATCCAGATTGGGCAGAAGAGATCAAACTTTCACTGTTTGCTGATAATACGATATTATATTTAGAAAACCCCAAGGATTCAACCAAGAGACTCCTGGAATTGATAAATGAATTAATACAGTCTCAGGATACAAAGTCAATACAGAGAAATCAGAGCATTCATATACGCCAACAACAATCTAATTGAGAACCAAATTAAAGACTCAATACTATTCACAAATAGCAACAAAGAAATAAAGTACCTAGGAATATACTTAACTAAGGAGGTAAAAGACCTCTACAAGGAAAACTATGAAACACTGAGGAAGGAAATAGCAGAGGATGTAAACAGATGGAAATCCATACCATGCTTGTGGATTGGCAGACTCAACATTGTTAAACTGTCTATACTACCCAAACTGATCTATAGATTCAATGCAATACCTATTAAAATTCCAACATTCTTCACAAATATAGAAAACATAATTTTATACTTCATTTGGAACCAGAGAAGACCCTGCATGTCAAAAGCAATTCTAGGCAATAAAAACAAAATGGGAGGTATTAATATGCCAGATATCAAACTATACTACAAAGCTGTAGTAATTAAATCAATA